CAAGTGGGTGCCTCCGGGACTGCTGTTCCCCTATCGCCACCCTCTGTCCCCGACCTTGGAGAAAAGAGACAAGCCATTGAAGAGCGAGCCCCTGTATTCCCACGTCGGCGAGGCGGTGGGTTAGCAACTGGTGGTCGACCGTATCAAACGCGGCTGACAGGTCTAACAACACCAGTGCCACCACATCACCTCGATCCAGATGCCTCCGGAGGTCGTCAGTAAGGGCAACCAGCGCCGTCTCCGTCCTATGACCAGGGTGAAAGCTGGACTGGAGTGGATCCAGGACAGAAGCGTCCTCCAGAAAGCTCTGAAGCTGTGTCGCCACCGCCCTCTCAATCAATTTGCCCAAATAGGGCGAATTAGACACCGGCCGATAGTTGGCCAATTCGGCCGGGTCCAGAGTTGGTTTTTTCAGGAGAGGGCGGACCATCGCCTCCTTGAGTGCCTCAGGGAACCGTCCCTCCATGAGGGACTTGTTAACAATCTCCCGTACGGCACCTCGAAACCCCTCATGGCCCGCCTTAAGGAGCCAGGAAGGGCACGGATCCAGGCAGCACGTGGTTGGACGCACAGATACGAGCAATCTGTCAACTTCCTCCAAACTGAGCGGGTCGAAACATTCTAAATCCTGCGAGGACGTGCAAGGGGCCTCAAGTTCGATCACTGTTTCAACTGTGGCGGGGAGGGCGCGGCGGAGCGCCAAGACTTTATCCGCGAAATAGCTCGCAAAAGCCTCACAGCCAATATCTAATTTCCTACTATTTTGTCTGCCCTGTGGCAGAGCTGTCAAGGACCGAATTGTTCTAAACAATTGGGCTGGGCGTGAGCTAGCGGACGCTACGTTGCTGTATGCCTGACAGATTTAAACTGCAGGTTTTTATGCCGGACATGCAGTGATGTAATATTGAATTGATCACTAGACAGAGCAAAGCACGTGGAGAAAAAAACAACAAAGCAATAGGGGCATACTAGACACAAAAATGAGAATGCAGAAGAGCTCATATCTGACGGAGTATTATATTGTGGACAGAATATTGTACCTTGGCCGCAGGGTTCAAATTCCTCTTCATGTATGATAACTATTTGGTAATTAGACACAAGTCATTAGCTCTCAGCCTCACATTTCTAACTTACCTTTCTTGTGAAGGTGGAATGTCTTCCACCCTGAGCTTCTTGGAGAAAGTAGAGAATAAATGTGCAATAGATGAAGCTCAATAGAAAAAACATTAAACAGTTTGGGTTGCCCAGTCATTTCATCATTCTATCATGCTGTACTTCAGACACTATGTGGTAGGCAGTGAGAAAAAGACCTCAGTCTGACGCAACACTTACCTCTGTGCATTCCGAGGAAAAGAATGGCAGCGGAGAAGGACAAGACAAAGAGAACACCCATTGTTGCTGCTTTGTGTTCCACCCCACAGTGAAATTCCTCATATATATGGAGAATATGAAGGAAGTAGTTTTGGTTATTCCCTTTTAAGGGCATTGTTTTTACATGAAGCACCCACAAAGAGGTCTTTGGGATGTCTGTAAAAAAGTTCTATTTCTGATTAGGCAATATTTGTTATATGATTAGGGGAGGGGCTCTGGCTCAGTTTCCAGATTTCCAATTCCAAGCCTCCAGTGTTTTTTGTGACAAGTGTCTGGTAGTGGGTGACATGAAAGACCTCTGCCTGAGACACTGGAGTGATCTCTGCCTGGACAGCTGCTCATTTTGATATTGGCCCGGGGGGGGGGGGGGGGGACGTTTCTTGTAATTTTAAGCCATTTTTAATATATGTGCTGCAAAAATCAGTTTATGAGAACTGGATAAACAGGTGTCAGTGGTGGCCGGGGTGCCTTTCACCAGCTGTGGCCCTTCCTGGGCAGAAAAGATCTTGCCACCGTGGTGCATGCCCTGGGAACATTAAATTACTGCAATGAACTCTATGTGGGGCTGTCTTTGAAGACTGCCTGGAAAGCTACAGTTAGCACAGAAATCTGCGCCCAGAATGTTGATTGCAGGGCATCAGAGGGAGCATATCTTTCCAGTCTTGTTCCATCTACACTGGCTCCCAGTTTGCTTCCCGACCCAAGGTGCGGCCATTGCTCTTTACATCTCTGTATGGCTTGGGGGGAACAGCATACCTTCTCTCATATGAACCCACCCACTTTGGTCATCTTTGAGGGCCCTGCTTCAGGTGGCCTGGCCATCCCCAGCATCTCCAGTTTAAAGGATCAGGTAGTAGGTGCTGTGAAAGACCTCTGCCTGAGACCCTGGAGAGGTGCTGCCAGTGTGAGTAGACAACCTTGATGGACTGATGGTCAGTATAAGACAACTTAATGTGTTCAGCTGAGGCTAGATGGAAGAAACTGTGAGGAAACCCAATTCTTCCTCGCTGTTTTGTAGGGTTCATAATTAGTCACAGAGGTTTTCCATGCAGTCCTCTGTGTCTTGATATCTATGGCTATGTTGCAAAAACCAGCAGTAATGACAGGGAGAAAAGAGAGCCTGTAGGGTTTGTCCTGTGCGTGTCCCAAGACATCAGTTTGGCAGTTCTCAAGCATCAGTCACCTTTCTTTTTCTTTTGTCTCTGTTTTTTCTTGATACTGATCTCAAGAGACTGAGGATCTTGCTCAGTGCACCTTGTTTTCTAGACTATGACAATGTGGGACAATTTATACAAATAACCAAGGCATTAATTGTCTTATCTGTTTATTTGTTTTGTCAAATGTTGTGCAGGAAACTTGAGGTGGCAAGGCAGTCCAAAGTTACTTGCAACTTTGGTGGGGAAAAGGCAAATGGCCCCAGAGCTGCTTTCCTGTTTCAACATTTCTGTTTATTGCAGTCTATCCTCAGTTTCTCCCTAAAATTTAAATATTATACTATAGCTGTGAGAGTACTGCATTCAGGAAGACATGCAATATGGCTTTATTTTAGATGGCATTTTGTTGAAGGTGGACGACTTTGGCCTCCCTGCCTGTGTTTTTGTGTTGTTTTTATTCTGTTTGTCTTTTTTACCTTGTTGATGGATGGTGATATTGGGTTTACCATGTGTTTGCAAGCTGGTGTTGCTTTGTTAGCCACTTTGAGTCTAAAAATATAAAGTGGGACATTTCTGGACTCTACATATAATGGTCTCCAAGTGGAACCAGATCAATTGACCATCCATTCTAGCTCTGTTTACATGTTATGGTGAATGCATGCAAATTCTGCCCGGTAATGTACATACATTTGTTTGTAAGAAAGCGCCAACATACATTCATTCTACAATGCAACCAAGGACCAGTATCTGGATAAATGTGGGATTTGTATCACATGTGCATGTGCAATGGCCTGACTGCTGTGTGAAAGAGGATGCTGGAGTCGATGGAGCAGGGCACCTATAAAGTTCTTAACAATAATTATAATGTAGACATCATGCTAAACTATAATTAGCATAAACCACAATGGGCAAACATACATTATTTCTGATTCTGGTTTACCATCTGATTGCAAACTCTAGTTGGTTAATTTAGATTTATATGCAGTCATTGCTAAGTTTGGTGTAGTGGTTAAGAGCCAGCTTGGTGTAGTGGTTAAGTGTGCGGACTCTAATAGAACCGGGTTTGATTCCCTACTCCTCCACTTGCAGCTGCTGGATGACCTTGGGCAAGCCATAGTTCTGTCAGGGTTGTTCTCTCAAGGACAGTTCTGGACACCTTTGGGTAGTGAAGGGCTGGGTATAAAGCCAATCTCCTCCTCCTCCTCCTCCTCCTCCTCTTCTTTCTTCTTCTTCTTCTCCTTCTCCCTCTCCTCCTCCTCCTCCTCCTCCTCTACCTGCCGTCCAAGTTTGGTGAGGATTGGATCTCAGGGATCCAAATTATGGCCCTCCAAAGAAGGTGTCCCCAGGAAAGTGCTTTCTGAAGGAATGACAGGTGGAGGTTCAGGAGTGTATTGAACAGATTCTGTGCAGGCTAGAGACATCAAACTCACAGGAGATTTCGGATTACTCTCCTCTCCCTGCCCTCTAAGTTTGGTGAGGATTGGATTTATGGGGTCCAATTACGTCTTCCACAAAGAAGATGCCCCAAGAAAAGTACTTTCTGGGAAAATGTCAGGCACAGGTTTAGGAAGTTCAGGAGTGTATAGAATAGATCCTGTCCAAGCCAGCAACCTTAAATTCATAGGGGACCTCCCCTAGATCCACTTGTATATGTGTGTGTGTGTGTAAAGTGCTGTCAAGTCACAGCCTACATATGGTGACCCCATAGGGTTTTCAAGGCAAGTGATTAAGCAGAGGTGGTTTGCTATTGCTGTTCTCTGCAAAGTCTTTTTGGTGGTCTTCCAGCCAAGTACCACCCTGCTTAGCTTGTGACATCTGATGTGATTGGGCTATACTATACCCAGGGGTCATTTCATAGAAAAAGAGCTAGGGGAACTCATTAGCATAACTCATTAGCATATGCCACACCCCCTGACATCAGGGGCCCGGCGGTGGACCTGCAAGGCCAGCGGGAGTGCGAGGAAGCCCCGCCAAGGCCCTCCCTGGCCCCAGGCAGGCAGGGGTGGGGAGAGGCGGGGAGGAAGCAACTTACCCTCCCTCTTCTCCTGCCTCCTCCTGGCTGAATGAGGGCTGGAAGCGGGGCGGCCGGAAGCAGGGGGCGGGGCTTCGTCATGTGCCCCGCCCCCTGCACCCCACCCGGGGGAACTGCGTTCCCCCGTGTCCCCCCCGAAATGACCTCTGACTATACCATGCTACCTGCCCCTACATGTATAGACACAGACTTCAAAATCAGCCAACCAAGATAGGGATAGGTCCTTGATACATTTGTTACCTGGGTAAGAGTAGCATCAATAGGGTGTCAAAGCATAATTCCTTTTATTGGAATCCAGAGAGCAGATGTTAAATCAATTCTTGCTGCTTGGTACCTGGGAGAAGTCCAAGGTAGCAGATTGCATTTCAGTGAAGGCCTTTCCTATCTTTTGGGTTGTATTACCTGATGTGCCACTACTGTACCCTTGCAATTGAGCCCTGCCATTTGAAGCTGGCTGATGTTAGGAGGAGAAAGAGACTGGGCAATGTCAATGCATTATCAGGTCCAATTACTGTTGAAAAATATTGCAATCTAGGACTTGTCAGTAGTGTGCTACTGCCATAGTGATAATTTCACTTACAATGGGAGTCGGTGGCCTTCAGGCTGGCATCCTGTGGGTGCAGGGGTATGCATAGATCACAATGCATTGTCTGCTCTCTGGGGCACTCACCATATTCTGAATCCATGTTTCATGTGGGCAGTGCTGTGTGATCATTTGGAGGGTTTTGAGGGTATGAGAACCACGAGTCTCCTTGTATATGGAAGTACTGGCTCCAAGTTTTCATGCTGTTCTGTGCAAGATTGTCAAAAGCCAATGGTCAACCTTTCTCCATTCGTTTTATTAACCATGGTTTCAAGTGTTTGATTTTTCTCTACTAATCTCCAAAGCTTGTACTGGGTCAATGCTCAGCCTGAGGAAGAATTCTGCAGATCTCCCAAGCACGCAAGATTTCTGCAGATCATTCTTGCAAGCTTTGGCATTCTGTGGAACTTTTGCAAGCTTTGGTAATCTGCAGAAATTGCAAAAGTTCTGCAGAATGCCAAAGCTTGCAACAGTGCTGTGGAGAAATCCCAAGCTTGGGGGGGGGGGGGGGGGGTGCTATGCACAGTACCCAACCGCTCATATTTCTCCCACCAGAATTCACAAAATGCCCATACACATCTCCATTTTCCTCTTGCATTTACAACCATGAGTCATAGAATTGCCAACCTCCAGAAGATCTCCTGGAATTACAACTGATCTGTAGATGACAGAGTTCTCTTCCCCTGAAGAAAATGGCTGCTTTGGAACATGAAGTCTATGCCATTTATACCCCACTAAGGTCACTCCCCTCCCCAAACCCTTCCTTTCCCAGGCTCCATCCTCCCAAATCTCCAGAAAGATCAAACCCAGGAGATGGCAACCCTATCATGACAATTGTGGCAACTGGGCTCCTAACAGCAGGTTTTTTTTTGCCAGAGTCTTCAAAATGAGTCTTCAAAGTCCGCTGATGAGGTCTTCCTGGTGTTTTATTTTTAACACTGTAGAGCTGGAAGGAGTAGAAAGGCTGTCTAGGACAACCTTCAGCTCTGAAAGTGAGAATATCCACCCTAACAGAGAGTTTCACCTTAGGTAACATAAGTTTATAAAATCATGCAGGGGGTGGAGGAGGAGGAGGAGGAGGAGGAGGAGGACATAGACCTGAGGACACCCAATAAACAGGATGAACAATAGATTTAGAATGGGGAAAAGTACTTCTTCACTTCACAGTGTTGTTACCCATCCCAAGCCCTGCTGTGCTGCAGAGGGAGGGCTATAAGTCCAATAAAATAAATAAACAAAATAAACAAGTAATTGAATTGTGGAATTTTCAGACACTGTATATGGCGATGGCTTTAAAAGGGAGCTAGACGTCAAAGACACATTCATGAAGAGTAGGCCAATCAATG